CCAGCTCTGTCACCGCAAAGGTTATCGTCACTCTGTGAAGTTCAGAGGAGACCAAATGCTGCCATCAAGTAACCAGCAGAAGAAAACTATGTTTTTCATGTTCTCAGGTCCCTTCAAAACACTGTGCCCAAATATGAGTTCAGGGACAGTCTTTCGAGGGTCTTGGCACTAGAGCTCCCCAGTCAAAGCATGTTTCCTTAATATGACATAAGGCAGCCTTAACTAAAGTGAGCATGTCCATTCCATTCCTATGAGCATCTTCAGAAACCTAGGAGATGATACTGGTAAAGAAGCTCTGCTTGGCTATCCATTCACTGTGTCCAGCTGCAGTGCCACATGGCCTGGCACGGTAAGGGCCATGGTGATGTTTATTCCACGTGTACACAGGAACATTCCAAACGCTGCAATGCAAGGACATCAATACGAGAAATATATACAAATTACAGGCTATGTGGAGCTCAAGAAAGAAACAGCTCCTAAAAAGTAGGAACCGGAGCTATGCCTGTGCATAATGAAGATGCAAAACAAGCATGGATTTTACTGAGTTTTGTAGTCACATCTTTTTTTTTTATTATACCTGCCTTGGGCTGTAGAATTATTGTATGAGGTGCCCCAAAGGTTGTCCATAAATATTCCAGACATAGGAAAATGGAAAACTGCAGTTAAATGTACATTTACAAAATATTCAATACAACATTTTAGAAAGAGGTGGCCAACACCTAGAGAATATTCTGTAAATATTTTCTAACAGTTTGTAATGAATATTTTGTGCAATTTCCCATTTTCCCTATGTCTGGTGACTTTAGGAGCAACTTTTGGGATATCCTATACTATCCAGAATACCTAAATAATCTTTATTTTCTAAATGGAGACACCATTCCCTCAGAAGAGGATACCTGGTTTCACAGAAAAGATAATCAGCCATACCAATCCTACGTGTTAAAAACACGTCTACTCTCCAAGAGAGCTTGAAAAAGAATGGAACAGAGAAACACAGAAAATGTGTATGTCTCCATGGAAAAATTACTGAGCTCATTATTGTTTTCCTTGGGGAATACAGATCAACTATAATTATATGTGGCACTTTTGAAACAATAAAGTGTTGTTCCAACTAATCATTTCCTCTTCAAATATTTCACATGGGTAGCTATATCAACATGTTTTATTTCAGCATGTTGACAGAAAATGATATTTTTCCTTACTTCCAACATAACAATTACATTAAAATTACCCATCATTGGAGACAAAATATATTCTGACATAAAAACAGAAGTGAAATAAGGTCAAAGATGATTGGATCTATAGGTTCGTACTTTAGCAACATGGTTTAAGCGGATTTGTTTTGGAAAAAATAATTTAATACTAGGACTTGTTATTAGCCAAAATGTTTTTACTCAGAAAAATCATGTGTCTTGGTATTATCATTTCCCTTGGAAATTTGAAACTATGTTTTAATTCCATACTAGTTACGTATCCTTGTGGAGACAATTCTGAGTTATCAAAAATATTTAGCATTTTTACCCATCAGAACTGAAAACTAGAAATAATTTTGTTGCTTGTTGATACTTTGGAAATTTTTTGAAGTTTTAGTTTCTGGAATGGTTTAGGCATAGAAGGGAAGGAATCTCTATTAAGCAGTCACCTGGCATTGGTTCACCTACATAAAGATACAACCAAAATATATTTAGGTAGGTTTTATTTAATTACACCCTTCAGTGAGATATTTCAAAACTTAAATTATCTAATAATGATTCTTCCCTTGCTATAGAAATTTTAGTAGTATTTCATTTATAAAAAACATTGGCCCTGCTAATCTTTAAATAAATTATACATTGATCTTCCCTTTCTTTCTTCACATTCTCTGTTGAGTTTCTGACCTGGTTTTGCTCTTCCCTATATTGCATTATAAATCAGTGAATACCCATCTGCTCCAATTGAAAGTTCCATTTCAATGGACTCAATTGCCCAGAGCAGTTGTGGCTTCAGAGGTTTCACATGAACCTCTGGTCATGGCCTTTAGTCACGTGAGCTTTCTACAAACGTAATTACCAGAAAGTACACTCTACTCAAAACACTAGATAGAAGCCAAAAAATGTGTGGCAAGAAATAAAAAACTCACTGCTTACTTCACATGAAAACACAATGACACATCTCATACTTTCAGATGAGAGTCATGAAGATCGCTCAGAAGCAGACACACAAACTTGTTTTTCCTATTAAATAAATCAGTTGTGTGGAAATTTAAACTTATCTGTGAAAGGATAGTGTCTTGGCATGCATTTTGTCTCCCACAAGTCATACATGGAAGCCCTAATCCACAGTGACTGCACTGGAGACAAAACTTTTCAGAAGGAAGTAAGGGTTAAATGAGGTCAGAAGAGCAGAACGCTAATTTGATAGGACGGTCTCCTTTTACAAAGAGGAAAAGACACCAGAGCTTGCACCAAGTTCTCTCTGTCCCTGCCCCCTCCACATGCAGCAGAGAAAAGGCCAAGTGAGGCACCATCTGCAAACTAGAAGAGGGGTCTCTCCAGAAAGCATCCCTGCTGGCACCTTCTTGGACCTCCAGCTCGGGGAACTATGAGAAAATAAACGTCCGTTGTTGAAGCCACCCAGTTTGTGGTCCTTTAATAGCATGAATAGGCCAGTACAGACAGTTATCTCATTCCTCTGGAAAAGTGTGTTAATGCTTTCTACCAGCTAGTGCTATCACCAAAGAGTGCTGGGTTTTAATCGATATTCTGTACCAATTTCAAGACATAAAATTTTGAAGTACAAAAGGTACTGCATGTGCCTTAGTGGTTTTTAAACTTTTTGACCATGATTCAAGATAATATTAATGTGTGTGTACATGTTTATGTATTTAATATGTAATTTTTTTAATATTGTGTGTGTGTGTGTACTTTTTCTAACTGCCTAAACATTCAAGTCTATCTTATTGAAGAACTACATGCTTGCATATGTGTGTATGTTTTTAAATCCATTCAAAAGACAGTTTATAGTTCAACAATTCGGTAGTTCTCTTGTTAGCTATCTTATCCAAAGCTACCATTTCAAAATTCTTAAAAGTACATATGCAGTTAGAATAAGTTATTTTTACTTTTCTCTCTTCCTCTCTCTCTGACACACACACAATGAGTCTAAGATTTGGGCAAATCTGTTTGGGGCCCTGTTCAGAGCAGGACTTTCCACACAATTTAAATTAGAATATCAAGCAGATTATTCTGCTGATTTGTTCATAATAAAAAGATTTTTGTTTTATGGTGCAACTAAGATATAGACTAATACATGAGGACTGAATAAGTACATTCCCAATTGGGAAATTCAGTATCCATGAAGAAAAGTGTTGGATAATTTACACTCTTGAAAGTGAGTATAGGTACCTTGGGTATGAGTAAAATTTATGATAGTTTTAAGAAAAATGAAGAAAACATTTGTAGAGAGAAATTATTTTTTCTTATTTTATTTCATGTCCTTGTTTATGAAAAAATCTGTGCTTGTAGCAACTGAAGGTTGACACTGATGTCCCTTGGTCTATGAACATCAAATAAAAAAGAGAAGGTAAATAAAGACAGACAATGAATACCACAGGTGTAGTTTTACAAATCTGTTGTTCTCTGAAACAATTAACAAAGTTGACTAAGATCCAGAAGCAGGAAAAACAGAATTCCCCCTGATCTACTCTGTTGCTGAGACTGTCAACTGTGTAAGCAACCCAAGTCCCCACCAACCAATGCATGGATTAATAAACTGCAGTATGTGTGTACCAGGGAATAACACTGAGCTATAAAAAAGACAGAAATGACATTGTTTGTATTTACCCGGATGGAGTCGAAGCACATTCTTCTTAGTCAAGTATCACAAGAATGGAAAAGCAAGTATCTGATGTACTCAATCCCAATATGAAACCAATAGAAAAACAACTATACCCCCATATGAGAGAAAAAACAAGCATATTCAAATGGCGGGGGAGGAAGGAGGATTGGTGTGCTCTCACCTAAGGTGCACAATGTAAGGGTTTACAGCACAACCCCTGGGGGAAGGGCTCAGCTACAACTCAAACTT